AATCATGTCTATTTCTGTTGTCTTTCTAGCAATCTTTACTAGAATCATGACTCTAAAGTCAACAAAGGCCATTTGGAATTTTCTTAAGCAAGAGTATGAAGGAAATGAGAAAGTCAAAAGGATGCAAGTGCTGAACTTGATCAGGGAGTTTAAGATGCAACAGATGAAGGAGTCAGAAACAATCAAAGAACACATTGACAAACTTCGAAGCACTGTCAACAAGGTGAGGTTGCTTGGAACTGAGTTTCCTGACACAAAGATAATTCAAAAAATCCTCGTGACTGTTCATGAGAGGTTCGAATCCACTATCACCTTTCTAAAAAATTCCAAAGATTTGTCAAACATTACTTTGGCAAAACTATTGTATGCTTTACAAGCCCAAGAACAAAGAGACAGTGCTTTACAAGCCAAATTGAAGCCCAATCAAGGTTACAAAGGAAAGAAAAAGAAGGCCCAAGGAAACAGCTCTAAGCAAAGGGAGACTCTCAATAAAGGAAGTAAAGGAGAAGATGAAAAGACAAATCATCCCCCATGTCAACACAGTGGAAAAAGGAATCATCCTCACTTTAGATGCTGGAAAAGGCCTAATATACAATGCAACAAATGCAATCAGCTTGATCAAGTTGTCAAAATTTACAAGAACAAAAAGTAGCCTCAAACTAAAGCTCAAGTGGTTGATCGACAGGAGAAGAGCAATTATTTGCAGCAACCTGTTTTGCCACTAGCAACAATGGTGAAAACTAGTTGATTGACAGTGAAGGCACACATCACATGACCTATGATGAAGAGTTGTTCAAGGAGTTGGACAGAACAACTATTTTCATAAGTAAGAATAGGCAATGAAGAGTGCATAACTGTTAAAGGAAAAGACACAGTTGCAATAGAAAACTGCTTAGGTACTAAATTATCACTGATGTGCTTTATGTACCAGATATTAATCAAAACTTGTTGAGTGTTGTCAGTTGCTTAAAAAGGGCTACAAAGTTCTCTTTGAAGACAAAATGTGTTTGATTAAAGATGCGAGTGGGCAAGATCTGTTTAAGGTCAAAATGAAAGGAAAAAGTTTCTCTTTGGATCTAATAAAGGAGGTGCAAGTAGCTGTTTCAAACTCAATCAATGCCACAGAACTTTGGCATAAGAGATTACGTCATTTCAATCATGCTACACTACTGTACATGAGAAAGCATAACCTTGTGAAAGGCTTGCCACCATTAGAAGATCACTTAAGTAGTTGTAGTGCGTGCCACTATGGAAAGCAGTTTAGGATAGCATTTCCACAGACAAGTTGGAAAGCATCATAGAAGCTGCAGTTGATTCATACAGACCTTGAAAGACCTCAACCTGAATTATTTTTAAAAGGGAGTAGATATAACATTGCATTTATTGATGATTTTACTACAATGTGTTGGATTTATTTCTTGAGATTCACGTCTGAAGTTGCAAGAGTTTTTTTTGAAAGTTCAAGGCTTGGATTGGAAATCAATGTGACTGCAAAATTCAGGTTGTAAGGTCTAACAATGGGAAGGAATACACCTCAAATCAATTTAATTTCTTCTGTGAAGAAGCTAGGATTGAGCACCAGTTTACTGCTCCATACACTCTATAACAAAATGTAGTAAGTGCAAGGAAGAATAGGACAACAATAGAGATGCCTAGATGCATGATGCATGAGAAAGGACTTCCTAAGAAGTTTTGGGTTGAAGTTGCTAATATAGTTGTGTTTTTTGTTAAACAGGCTTCCTACAAAGGTAGTGCAAGGGAAAACTCCATGTGAAACATGGTATGACTAAAAACCTTTTGTCCAAAATTTCAAAATTTTTGGATGTATTTGTTTTACTTATGTGCCAAAAGAGAAAAGAGATAAGTTTGATAAAAGGCAAAACTAGCGATCTTCATTGCCTATAACACAACTTAAAAGGCTTATAGAGTCTTCTAACCACAAACTGATAAGATTCTAATAAGTAGAGATGTTCATTTTGTTGAAGATAAATAATAGAGCTAGAGAAAGATGAATGGAAGCAAGTTTCTAATTTTTCTTTTATACAAAATGAAAATGTTGATGATCCACTTGTTAGAGGAACTAGATCACTTTCTGATATTTATGAAAGATGTAATGTTGCTGTGTTAGAGCTTGTAAATTTTATTGAAGCTGAAAGAAATCCAAGGTGGATAGCTACAATGCAAGAGAAGCTTAACATGATCGAGAAGAACCAAACTTGGGAATTGGTTTCTAGACCCCCAACACAAAAATGTTATCGGTGTTAGATGGGTGTTTAGGACCAAACTTAATGTAGATGGTTCCATTAATAAGCACAGAGCACGACTTGTGGTGAAATGATATGCTCAAGTGTTTGGAGTTGATTTCTTTGAAACATTTGCTCCAGTAGCTCGGCTTGATACAATCAGGTTGGTTCTTACTTTGGCGGCACAGAAAAGTTGGAAAGTGTTTTAATTAGATGTAAAATCTGCTTTTCTCAATGGTTATTTACAAGAGGAGATATATGTTGAACAAACTAAAGGGTTTGTAGTTAAAGGACATCAAGACAAGGTCTACTTGTTAAAAAAAGTCTTACATGATTTAAAACAAGCTCCAAAGGCCTGGTACAGTCGGATTGATGAATACTTGCTGAGTCTTGGCTTTACAAAAGGTCTCAGTGAGTCAACACTCTACGTACAATGCTTGAACACTGAAATTTTAATTATTTCTCTGATGTGGATGACCTTTTGGTGACAAAAAGCAATGTTGCATTTATTGACAAGTTCAAGCAAAATATGATAAAAGTCTTTGAAATGATAGATTGTGAAGAAATAGATTTCTTTCTCAGAATGATAGTCAAGCAAGATGAGAGAGGCTTTATCAGTTAGAAAAAGTATGCAAAAGAAATTCTAGAGAAGTTTCAAATGGAGAACTGCAATTCTATGAGTACTCCAATGTTTCAAAAGCTAAAGTTACGCAAGGAGGATGGTGTAGAAAAAGTTGAAAACTGATTATGGAAGTCTTGTTAGTTGTCTTATGTATCTTACAGCAACAAGACCTAATATTTTACAAGCTGTAAGTGTTCTTACAAGATTCTTGCATTGTATAAGTGAAGTGCATTTTCAAGCTGCTAAGCGTATACTTAGATATGTCAAAGGAACTCTTAGTTATGAAATTTGGTTCAAGTATAATCAAGAATTCAATCTCCATGGATTCTCTGATGGTGATTGGGGAGGACCGTTGAATAATATAAAAAAACACTTCAGAATATTACTTCACATTTGGTTTTGGAGTGTTTTCTTAGACTTCAAAAAAGCAAGATATTGTGGCACAGTTAATTGTTGAAGCAGAGTTCATAGCTGCTACTGCAGCTATTAATCAAGTTTTGTGGCTGAAAAAAATTCTAGCTAATCTACAAATGGTTCAAACAGATTCAACCAAGGTGTTTGTAGATAATCAAGCTGCAATTATAATTTCTAATAATTCTGTTTTTTATGGAAAGACTAAGCACCTCAATATCAAACTCTATTTTCTTAGAGAAGTTTAGAAGGAAGGAGAAGTTTCATTGCAATACTGCAAAACAAAAGATCAACTAGCTGACATATTCACGAAAGCACTTCCCAAAAGACGGTTCGAGAACTTAAAAAAAAAAAGCTTTGAGTTAATAACTACTAATGCAAAGAGGAGTGTTGAGAATATGCATCAATATCTATTATTAGAATTTATTAGCTATAATTGTGCAATTCCAACAGCTATGAACCATTACAAGTATGGGCTGTTACATTGTCAATTAAATTACTTAATTGTCAAATCAATAGGAAAAATTATTAACAATTGGCAATTACAAATTTTTTGTATTTAAATAATACTAGTATCAATAAAATAGTAAGCTTCAGTTTTCAAGATATATCCTTTCTAAAATTCCTCTTCTATCTTCAACAACTTTAAGAAAGCCCTTCCACCCAACACCAAAGCCCAGGGCTTACGACACAAGGCCCATGTTTAGGCTTTTAGGCTCGCCCAACTACCCAAAGATTTTGGTAAGTAAAGACTTGAAGAAAAGTGAGACAAAAGGATTCAAAATTCCTTTTCATAAAAAAAGAGAAAAAAATTAATTTTTTTTTAAAATTATAAGTCAAAGAACAGATTTAAATGTAGGAGCAACCAACAAATTTTACCATTAGGGCATCAAAAAACAGATTTAAATGTACAGAGACTACTTTATACAACAAAGTACCAGTTAAAGCACTCCTTCCAATCTGCTAGAGATGTGAACTCAAATTCCTTGATTGTGTGCCCAACTCACCTTTAACCTCCATCTTGTCATGCATTCAACTTCTTGTCACTGGTCTTGCTCCGGAAGGGCGACAAAAGAGAGAAAGGACGTGAAGCTGTAACCAATTAAAGTAAATATCAGATCCCAAGTCTCCATTACTACAGATGATCAGCAAGAAAGCAAGCAGTACAGTAATGGCTTACACTTATGCGAAGTCGTTCCCACAGCTAGGGTTTCATCTTGAGAGATCAAATTCTTCAACGTATGAACTAACACAAAAACCATGAATAAAATGATCAGCTTGCAAAATAACCGATCGAAATCTAACCATTTAAGTGTTAGAAAAAATGGATAAATAAATGTGAGTGCAGTGAAGACATCCTTCCACATTCATTGAGGGCCAAATTTTTCCTTTTTTATGATTTCTTGAAAAGGACCCTTGTTTTAAACCATTTAAATTCATTAACTGTTTTCTAACTGTCATGAAGTTTATGATAAGTCCTATGTAAGAGAACAGTGGACTATCAATTTTTCATGCAGTGGAGAGTTGAAAAGTTAAATGCATCTTTGTTGTCACTACATTTCAAGCAGTTGAGGTCAAGTAAACATCATTTCTTTAAAATATTGGTTGCATTTTGCAAATTCTGATAATATCAATCCTTAAGATAATTACAGGTTGCAACCGTACAAGCTCTGATAATCTCTTGAACAAAGAATTAATATTTTTGTGCAGTTTATTTTAAAACTCTATTCAACGTTGGTGAGACCTAGAAGAGAATTTAAGAGTTACAAGCACATAAAAGTTCATGGCACAATCATGTAATTATATAATTCATTGCTCGTAAGAGTGTTAAAGGTAATATAATGAATTTTACCTTCACTAGAAGAAGCTGCTTTAGTAGCATTGTCATCTACCTCAGATCCATTAACACTGGCATTATCTGATTCAATGCTAAGCTCCCCTGCACTTGAACTATGGTTCTTCCTTCCAAACTTCAAAAGCCGTCTAAACCCTTTAGGCGATTCCTTCACTTGAAGCCTACCCACTGATTCTGGAATCTTTTGTAATTTAATGTTATCAAGACCAGATAATTGTACTTTGGCAATTCCAGCACTAGACTTCATAGTCTCGGAGCTCATTGGAGGTGCTTTTCCATACTCTAAATGTTCAGTAGAAGGGTCTTCTAAAGAAGAGAGCCGAGCAACAGGGGCCTGGTAAGGTTCTCCAGCTTTACAAATATTTGAGGACTTTGGTGATACCTTCTCTATATGAACCTACCAACAAATTATATGGTATCACAAAGCAGACGCTGACTCAATGCTCAGCCATGCAGCAAACTATGAATATTTTCAAATCTCATATCTTTTATAAGATATAAAAATATTTTTAGTTAATAATTTGATCGTTTATTAGAGCTGCATTAACCAATATTTGGTTTGTTATTATGATTTGATATCATTTGTGTTCTTGTATCATAGAAGTTTAGCACCCTGGTAGTTTCACCTTGACACGTTTCAATTGACAGAGAGTTTTAGATGCACACTTTCTTCTCACACATAAACAGATACGAAATGATTATCCAATCCTACCTCATAAGACCTGGGTTGCTCTTGTAATTGGCTTTGAATGGGTTCTACATTCACTCCATCCATGGGTGAAGGTGGTGCACGAACTGTATACTCTGGTATCATCTCAATTTTCTCTACTTTTCCATGGTCGTTAGAATGTTCCTTTTGCACACCCATATTTTCTTCTGATACACATACAACAGGAAGAGAAGGTTTCTCACACCCAAGCATCACAACAGTCTTATCAATTACAGGACTATTGACCTGATCACTTTGATGTGTCTTTTCATCAGTTTTATTGCTGCAGGTTGCAGAAGACTTGCTCTGATTCACTTTCTGTATCATCTCCTTGGCTGCATGTTTGTTTTGTCCTGCATCCACTGAGTCTTTATTTTTTCTAATCCTCAGTTCAGGTAGGGTTGCAGCCTTGCTTCTATCAAGGCTTATAATAGCTGATATTTTTCTGCTCTCAGGTTCCTTAGACATCTTTGGTTTGGATATCAATTCAGTGTTTTGCGACTCTGTTGAAGAAACATAAGGAGTGCTACTTGTTTTTGGTTCTGATAATCTTCTTATACGTGCCTTTGAAGCTTTGAGATCAGGTGTAACACAACTGCTTTCTTTCCTTGTCTCTGGTAATGATGAAGCAGATCTAGTCAACCTATTTCCTGGCACTTGGTTGCCATTATTAGATTTGCTAGTTTTAGATACCTTCCGAGATTCAGAGGATCCAAGAGAAGATGTTCTTAACTTGGATCTCTGAAGAGGAGATGATGACCCTGGCTCTGAATCACTGAACTTTGACACTCTATGAGAGGTTACAGAAAGTTTGGTGGAGGATTTTCTTGCAGTTTGCTGTGAGAATGGTGACTGAGGAACCACAGAACTGCCCTTGCTGCAATTCTCTTTTGCCTCTCTATCTTTAAAGCTTCCAGTCGCCTTAGCTGTTCTTCTTCCTGCAAAAGGAACAAGTTTAAACATAAGCCCATTGGAACTAAACAAACTTTCTAGCTGGCAAAGAAATGTTAAATTTTAATTATAAAAACATGCGGAGCTACCTAATGCATATTACTAATATGAGATATGACAATATAATGCAGCTATTTTCTAACTTCTAGCCATTCATCACAAGTTTTATAAGCATAATTAGTGATAGTACCTTCTCCTTCTTCATTTTCTGGAGATCTGCTTTGAAAGCTCTTAGTCTATCAGCACGTGCTCGTGCATCCTCCAGAGGATTCAGCTTTGAAGGTTTTACTTTTCTTATTGGCCCAACAGACTTCTTATCCAGAGTGCCTGGAGTAACTCTTGACTTCTGGTCTTTCTCTGACTTCTTGGGACCTTTTTTCACATCTGCTGCAACCTCTTTGCTGTTATGCATTGAAGCAGCATCTTCAACACAAACCTCCATTTCATAGTCTAAAGCAGGATCATACCCAATAGTTATTTTCTCAGTGCCACGTTCAGGCATCAAGCTTAAATCATCAGGTTCATAGTTGATTCCATTTGGAGTTGTATTAGGACCAATTTCTGACTTCTGAACTGTTTTAGGGAGCTCAGAATCAATGTCAATAGCAGCTCTTCCACCAGCTCCAACTTGATCAAGTGACATTGACCGCAGAGGAACAATGAAGGATTCATCGGTCATTTTTTCGTGTGAACTCTTATTCAAATGGCTGGCAGAATGTGTAAGTCCATCTAAAGCCAGCAGATCAGATGAACTGACCAAATTTGAATGGTTTTCATGTCCAACAACCATAAAATCATCATTTGCACTTCCCCTGTACATGACCTTTCTTCCATTTATTTCAGTAAATTGTACATCCATTTTATCATCAGTGGATCCTCTGTGATCATCAAAATGCCCCTCCCCTCTACACATTAGAATTTCATCATTTGACACCCCTGACTTTCGAGTCAAATTCCCACTAAGTTTTTGGAATTCAGAAAACCCCCCATCTTGTCCCTCAATTTGATCTCTTCCAACCACAGCCAAAGGATCATCAGCAACTGTACGTTGTCGTCTCTTTGTCTTCAAATTCTTTTCCATTGCAAACAAGCCTTGATCAGTAGACTGATCATGCTCATCTGTGTCCCTCAACAAAAAGTTTTGAAATGCTTGCCAGTGTCCTCCATCTGCCTCCTTCCCATGGATAATTGATTCCTCAGTATAGGATTTTGATCCATCTGCAGAACTTTTACAATTCTTATTGCTTTCCATTGAGTTCTTGTGCATCATATCTAGTGCACTTCGCTGCAAATCTCCAGATTCCTTGTCAGTGTCAGAGTCAGAACCTGATTGGGACACACTTTCTGAAGAATTTTGCCCTTTTGAAGCAATATAATTGATATTCCGGATGACAACCACACCTGATTGCTTTTTACCTGATCTACCTGTCTTCTTTCTTGGTTCCCGTCTATGTGAACCTTCCTTCTCCAACTCCATGCCACCCTGTGACCTTGCATTGGTGCCATCCGTCTCCGATGCCTCTGATCCTGTGCTGCTATCTCTACCATCGGCAGATTGTCTTCTTTGTCGTGTCCTATGACCAGTACTGATTCGAGAATCCTCCATTGGAAGATAAGGTGGGGGATAAAATGGGCCATTCCCAGGATAATTTGGATAATAAGGCATTCCCTGCACAGGATATGGCTGAAAGACTGGTAGAGTGCCAGGTGGAGAATGTGCAGGCCAGGCAGGGAACATTGGGTGTGGAAACTGGCCCTGGAAATATTCTTGTTGACCAAATGGAACTTGGTGATCAGCAGGATGCCTTTCACCTGGGCAACAAGTGGATATAATTAATACAAAGGCAAAATGCAAAAGGTGAAAGAAGATGGGGAAAAAAAAAAATAGAGAGCAGGGTAGAAAGAGAGGCAATGACTTTTCAATAAGCAATTTGGTTTACTATTAGGCACTGAATGGCAACTAAAGAACAAATACCACAAGTATACCAATGCCTTTGGAGGGATGTCTCAACCCATTCCAGTATCCAATTCATTCAATGTCAGGATTACTTGGAATAAAACATATTAACTTACAAAACCACAAGCAGCCTACACAATTCAGACACTAGTTGATGTGTGCACCCTCACTTGGTGATGATTTTAAAGCCACAGACTTGATGAAACAAGAATAGTGTAGCACTTATCCTTCCAGATTAAGCATTTCCAAAAATGTCTCTTTTGACAAGTAAATAAATAAATATAAGAGATCATCATAAAAGGGAGCAGAACCCCTGAACATCCACTCAAAAGTAATACACATACATTTAAGGACAAGAAAAGTTCCAAATGAACACAATAATTAACAGTTTGAAATAGCCTGTAGACAACTATATATAACATTTTCACCCTAAGTTTTACTTTCATCTGACTATTTCAGGTTTACAGCTACAATAAATTTGATTAGGTTCAAATCTATGGATCTTAATCAGAATCATCATTCAATATGACCAAGTTAGAAGTTGACAACTCATAAGATTTTTCTCCCCTGATTTCTGAGAACTCTTATCCAGGCAATATGTGACCAAAATGATTTAACAATATCAGGTACACCATACACCCCAAGGATTAAAAAACTAAGGTTCATTTGTAGTTGGATGAGATGAATAAAAAATACAGTTCTAGCTCATGAATCTGTGGCAACAGACAATAGCCAATGCCCCTTGATATTAAACGTGAGTACAGGTAACTGCAGTTACTAGGAACCAACCAAATTAAAAAGGTTTTGTACTCCATTTTCATATCCATAGGAAAAAATAAAAGATTAGTCTTTATTGAAATTCAGAAAACAAAAAAGAGTCTCCTTTCATAAGTTTATAAACTGAACTCTAATACACAAGCATCTTCAACATGCATGTTGCGACTAGATGATGGAACGCAGAGCCAAGAATACAGTAAATGACTTGATTAGAAGAAAAGGACAAAATTTTTCTTGCCACGACCACTCATTTAAGATTTATGACCTGGAGCTCATACCTGAGGTTGCTTCAATGCCCGCCTTTCCATTGTTCTCTGGAGGTACGTCACTGAGGGGTTCTTTCTGTTTGTTTGCCACACTAGAGAGCATAATGCCGGAAGCATTCATAGCAGAGAAGTCTGATCGACAGGACATTGCTTCAGCTGCTTCAATTTCAAGCCACTGTCCAGTCTCATGCTTTCCCTTCCACAGGTCAACGAACCTTCGGCATGCGTCCCTGTTGTGTGGAAATATCAAAAAAATCAGAAACATGCTTTCATTTAATTCACATGCAGTGGGGGATGTGGAATGCAGCATCAAACATGAGAGATCAGAAAGGAGAATAGAAATCTAAACACGCACACCTATATAAAAAAGATCAAAAAGGAGGGGGGGGGGGGGGGGGGGGAGCAAGCAGGAAGGTATCAGCATCTGGGAGTAATAAATTACTACTTACATTAACCGCGAGGCTCCAAAGCATTCAGCAAATGACACCAGTGGTGCAATGTGATCAATGTCAAACCCAGCAGCTACAGCACGTGCAAAAGCCATGCCTTGTTCTTTCTGCAGCACAGTTTTGCGCGCCTCCAGGACTTTCAAAAGCTGGACTCTGATTAAACGTGCAAATCAGATATAATGAAACTGAAATTTTGTAAATTCATATTTACATATATTTCTGATACACTCTTACCATTAGCTTGGCCCACCACAATATATGCAAGTCAAAGATTGTAAACTATCAAGAACATGTGGAAGTGACGTGGAACAGACATATTGGTTGAATTTTCTTGCTCTAACTACAGTCACACTTCAGTGAATACCTTACAAGTCATTTTAGTGCATTAGTCATTGTGATTAGAAGAGATACAGGTGGCAATAATTCTAGAATCTAGACATTAGAACACTTCATATCTACATGTGAATGAGTTTGTGTGGAGCACACACTTGAACAAAAAGAAGGTGGTGGACAAAAAATCATCAAGCTGTAACCAATACTTTTATGCTTAACTAGAAGGCAAAGTAGAATTATGATATAAGCACATCTAAGTGTCAAGTAAAAATAGTATTTAGCACACCAGATTTCTGAGATTGGACAAAAAGAAGAGGGATACCATGCATCTAGATAGTCATGTTATTTTGCCATTCCAATTGAATACTCAATTGTACTTCTCACATTGTTGATATTGGCTACATATCTGTGCACTCAGAAGACTAAATGGTTATCTAAATACCAAAATCAAAATTATGTAACAAGTTGTTATGTGAAATGGCAAACATCATTATGTTTAAACCCTCAAATTGAAGGGTGAATTACGACCCAATAAGCACTAGAATATACCTCGAGTTTCCTTCCTGTACAGTGGAACCATTTGTCTCAGGTGGAAGTGCGTCAGGCTGTGTCAGGAAAAAAGAATGTAAATATCATTTTGTACTGGATGAGTTGATGGCATAATTTTTTTTGTTCAATGAACTTACCTTATAAAGAACAATTGCCCTTTCTTCATTAGTGTCAGTCAAAGATTTGTTGCCTGCCCAAATGATTGAGCAACTCAAGAACAAAACAAAATATAGAAAAACACATTTGAATTCAGCAACTACTATAACTCTATGCAGAAAAAATGTACCTTCATGAGGAGGTGTGGGGTGGGTGGGTGGGTGGGGTGGGGTGGGGCGGGGCATGGAGACTTTAGAAATTTCTTGCATAAGAAGACAACAGTATAGACGCAGCCCCCACCCCACCACAAAAATAAATAAAGAAATAAAACAAAAATAAAAATAACAAAATGCACAGCATTAGCAAATATTATTAGAAAAACAGAAAAAGTAAACATTTTCTGCATACCTTCATTGGTTCCCACATGCACAGGCTTTGCTCGACAATCTTCAACCTGTCAAACAAAAATGAGGGTAAAGGGTCAATGTGCTTTCAAAGATTTACCATACTTGGAATTTCTCTTTGATAACACTTACAGCACTAGGTCCCATCTCATTGCCCTGAATGGCAATTGCTTCCTCAATCTGTAAGATCTCAGATTCTAAGGTGTACACTCGTTCCAGTATCTCTGGAGTGCTCACAAAACGAACAAATCTGTGCAGAAAACACAAAAAGTTGTTGCATGTAAATATATGTATACATATATTTTTTTTATTTGATAAAAACATGATATGGCCCCAATCCTATTACTTTCAAAGCTTAAATTGATGGGCTACATCAATGAGACAAACAGCTGCTGAATTGGAAATAAGCTTCAAGCCTTCAACACTGAAATAATTACAACTTTGAAACATTAAAAATATCCAATTTCAACTTGTGGTTCATAGATCCAAAGTAGCTGACAGCATGATAGTCAGCAAGCCAACACCTACTCCTCTATAAGAAATATTTCCTCAACAAATAGATTGATAATCCATGACTAATGGCAATTACCAATTTAAAATGCAATGAGCATGATGTCAACACTAAATGGACACTCACATGGAATAAAACCTCAACAAAAATTTTACTTGGGTATATACAAAAGGTTTTGATATGGAGCCATAGGATTTGAGTAGCAGACAGTTAGAAAAAGGCATTGGTATTTAAATAGCTCCCAGAATTGAAAGTGCTTCTTATTATAAAATGATCTCCAGGTAGCAGACTACCATGCTGATAAAACAAAATATGACAAACTCGTGACCTTGAGGTTCTGCAATTACTTTATGAATAGCTGAAAGATAGATTCATCATACATAATACAGTCTTCATTTTTTCAAAATCAATTGGACAATCCAGGAAGTAATGACCAGATATTCATTTTCAAAAATAAAATAAAATAAAATAAAATAAAAGTGTTCCAATTCACAAGACTCCTTAATTTATGAGGGTCATGAAGGATAATCCAACATAGCATGCACTTTCTATCTTGGTTTTATGTCCAACAACATGAAACTTTTAGCTGCAAACTTTTGATTGCAGTTTCTATAGCAACCATCAGTTCATGAGTTCTACTGTCCAAAGGAAATCTAGCTCCCCCCCCCCCGCCGATTATCAGTTAAAATTATGCATTCTCTCTGTACAGCACACACTTTCTAAACCACCAGTGAAATTAAAACTAGAACCAAACCCTTCCAAATTAGAAGTTTAAATTGCGTGATCTCTACTTACACAAATTGACGTGTGCTAACAAAATCTTGATAAAATATATAAGCCAGTGAGAAAACAGTTTACTAGCTTATCCTTTTACACAACCACACCAACAAGCTAACTCGTATTGTTGTTATTGTTGAACATTCTGAATAAAAAAGTTTATTTGGTTTTGCTGAAAATGGAACAAAACTGATGGAGTAATGAAGATGAGAACTATTTCTGCAAATTTTTAACTACAGGACAAATATAAAATCCTAACTAGAAAATTTCAGCTTCTGAACTCTCAAAATAAGTCATAGAAGTTGGACAAACCTTTCTACTGTACCCTTGGTGAACCAATCACTGCCAGGCTCAGGTTCAAGCAAGATAGAATAACCTCCCTTCGCAATCTGATCTTGAGCAGTCTTCAGGTGGGCAAGAAAGGATTGAGTAAACCTGAAGCAATTTTCTCTGTCTTGCCATTTGCAGTGATAATCAGATCACACCTGATATTAGAAGCAGCAGTCAAGCCTCAATCTAAAAATCTCCCAAATAAAAATAGAAATCCTCAATGCCAATCTAAGATTGATTGAAGGATATAAAGGTATTTGTTTCCACGATTCTACTATTTCTCAATGCTAAACATTACCATCTTTTTCACTATACTACAATGTACATGCAAGCAATTGAACCCACTTACATGTAGCATTGCCATGTAAAAATTGTGAAGAGGTTGTGATTTTTGACTGATTTTTGTGTATACGTTTCCCAATAAATTTTCTATAGATAATTACAAAAAATTATTTTCTTATATAAATTATTTATTTTCAGCTTGCTTTCCTAATCAACCAAGAAAGGAAATCTTTATACCATAGATTGCTATTTTTTTTCTTCCATTTTATTTTCATTTGACAATTACATTTCCAAACAAAATATTAATCTTACAACATTTTTAATAACAAAGGTTCCGGTTCCCTAGCTCCTCTTCATTAGGAAAATCATAATAACGCATAAAAAAAAGTTTCATATTCTTTTTTTCTTATCAATAGCAAAAAGGAGGATTTACCATAACGAAAACTGAAAACAGGGGAAGAAATAGGGAAAAAGAAGACATGCATTATTTAATAATAGACAATATTCAGCAATCTTGGACTTAAGTCACGAAGCATCTTGTGCTCGAACATGATACCAGAGCAAGAAACGAGTCCCAGTTTTAGAGTCCCATCGTATCTCAGCCAATGCACATTCAAGCAAAATACATTTCATGTAATTAAAGAACAACCTTAAATTTCCAGTCAGAATCCACATGGATTTATTCCGGGAGGGAACTTACCTCAAAAAAAGAAAAGAGATTTAAAATTCAGTTTTGGAGAAGCAAGCGGATGAGCTAAAATGAATGACGCAGACTACGACTCAGCACTGCGAATGCGCGAAATGAACAGAAATACCTACCAGCCCAAAGTACAAAATGCCCAAGGTACTAAACGACCTCAGGGTACCGACTGAAAAAGCATCGACAAAACCATCCAAACATTCAATGAAGACAAAATCCATAAACGATTACTTCAACAAGTACACTGAACTGAAAAGAGAAGCCATTCCAATTATCGTTACATTTATCAAACGCCAAATTTCAACAATGAACGACGGCGAATCAGATCGACTGACCAACTGGACAGATGACTTCATCCAGAAAGACTAATACCACCTCATATGGCCAGCATCAACTAGTTAAACACAAAAAAAGAAAAAGAAAATCGTCTAATCACTGCAGTACTCATTCATCGAGGAAATTACCTGGTTCGAGTAGGCGTGAGCTGAAAAAGAACCGAGTCAAGACGAATGGTGGATTTCATTGTTCAGTAAATTGATTACGGTCAAATCTATGCTTCGAGTGCTTCAACACTAGGGCTTTAGATCTCAGACAAAGGTCAGAGAATTCGAAAGCCTTTTGTTGAGAAATTGCTTCGATTTCAGAGTATTAACCTCTAAGTTGAGCAATAAAGCTTCGGAGACTACAGAAGGAACCAAAACTCAAAAAGACATGCTGCAATGGTCACACATAACATACTTTTTGTGAGAAACAGAGAACGACAAAGAGGCTTTTTGGGAGAGAAAAGAAGCAGTCGGAACAGAGCCTTTTACACAAAGAGAGAGAGAGAGAGAGAGAGAGAGTCTAATGGAGGAATATAGAGAGAGAGAAAGAGAGACAGGCGATCGAAGTGATTATTTTGTCTCTCCTTGGATACCCGACCGAAGAGTCTGCGGGGAAGGAGAGATATCAGTTATTGCGTCCTTGAATTTCCGCCTCTGGTAAAAAGCGAATATTTGAAGGGCGATTTGGGAAATTGGAGTTGGAACGACGGGGCGGTGGCCGTCATGACAAAGAAACGACAAAAGGCAACAAGGAACAGAGGAGGGTCACCGCGAGAGATTCTGTGATTGAAATTACGAGAATGGTCATAATGTTTCGCAACGGTAAAGGACCCATGGACGAAACTGAAAGAAAAGCGGGGCGCTAGAGGCTAATGTGCGCGTGAAGTGAACGTTTGCGATTGCTATATCAAAAAGTCTACGCTGACGACGCTGCAGTGCAACGTCTCAAAATGGTGGTTGGCTCCGACGTGCCATTACTTTTAGTTCTCATTAATTATTGCATTAATATATTTTCTAATACATTTTGGTTTTAAGAGTTTCCTAATAAATATTTTTATTCGTTTTAATTTTGTGGGTTTCTCGAGGAAGTATGTTGGCGCGCTGTAGTAAATCTCATTATATATTATTGGATACTAAAATAAAATATAAAAGATACAGAAAAAGGTTTATATTTTCTTATTATTTATTTCATAATGTTAATTAATTTTCTCATTTTTATTAAATTTTTAAATTTTTTAACTTTTTTAAAAAAGTTCCTTTTTACATTTACAACGTTATGTGTAGATTTCTTACTCTATCTTGCTTGCAGATTTTTAATTTTAACTAATAAATTTGTAATATCTTCTGTAACATTAGTTTATAAGTGTGAAATTATGTTATGCATAAAGTTTTAAAAATTATTACAAAATAATTAGATTTAAATATTTTAAATCAATAATTTAAGTTCAAAAATTTATTATGATTAATGACTTTTAAATTGATATAAATAATATTAAAGTAAATAATTATCGAATATATCAAATGTTTAAGGAAAAAAAAATTGTAATCCTTGTAACTTTCAGGTACTAAAAAGCTTTAAGGGAACAAGGAACTTTGTCCCTTTTGTATAAATAGTAAAAAAGGAAAGTAAATATATAGGATAATTACATTAACCCTTACTTATGATAGCTTTGTTAATTAAACCCGTCAACTAAAATAAGAATATTTAAACCTCTAAGTTTAACAATCAACATTAGATTTAAGGATTAATTATATTAAGCCCTCTTGAACAATGTTCGGCTCATTAATTAAATCTTTCAACTAAAAAACATCATTCAATCCTTGATTTTAATAACTAATTAAACTAAAGTTACGTTAAATTTAAGAGTTAAATGATATTTTTTAATTAAAAAGTTTAACTTATTAGACGGCTTTAGTTCAAATGGGTTAACGTAATTAACCCTAAATATGTTCATGGGAGCCAACTTATGAGCTGACTGTTGTTGTTTGTTTCTTCGATAAAGCAAGCAAATTAGAAAATGCAAGCTTGAGGCGTATAAAAAAAAAAGATTAAAAAAAATTAAAAGTAATGCAAAAAATAAGCTTCGAGGGAATGGTTTCACTGTTCTTTTGGGTTCTTTTTGAATATATTTTTTTTAACGTTCAAAGAAGGCACACCTTAAAAATACTCAAAAATTTCTATAATAGCAAAATAATTTTTTAAATAAATAATTACATTAAAAACTGAAAATCTATCTTCTAGAACAAAAATAAAAACAAAAAATCTCTAAAATTGAGCAAGCCTAACATGACCTGATGGCGCAAGCAAATTCAACCCTATTTTGTACATATGCACAATATTTTAAAACTTGGATCAGAAACCAAATCGGTATGACTATTTGAGTCATTGTGCAATCAATTTGACTGCTAGTCAACCTAATTGATAGTATGAAAAATTTAAAATAAATAAGTAAATAAATATATTAATTAATTATAAAATGATAATATTCTCTATTTTATTGTGCAAATAATATAATTTAGACACATAAATTTAAAATATAATTTTAAATAAAATTAATAAACATATAATTTTATATCATTTTAACGAACTGGTCAATATTGATCAATTTTAATAACTTTTAATCTTGACAGATTTTAACTTATTAAACTTTAATTTCATTTAAAAATCTCGTCTCCAACATTTGTCAAGACGGGTGACACTCGATTTGATACAACCAACCGATCCGATTTGGGTTTTAAACTTTGTACATGGACATTGGGTAGACGCAATGGAGGACAAATAAATTCATCCATGCATCCTTTTTCAGTTGACCGGTGGACAAAAGCAACGTTTAACGCCATCATTCATTATTGTTGTTCATTTCTTCGTTGTGCATTCGTAACAAGTTTCGGAGCCATCCACTCATTTTCCAAATGATGTTGGCTACGAACATGAAATAATAATGCCATCCGATCCCTAATTCAACCTAAGTACGAGAGTACCATTACTCAATTTCTGTTTTATATTAAGAGTGCGAACAAAGTCTTTTGCAGGAGGGGGGTTTGGCAGGTAAAATTTTTTAAATATTTTGTAATATATTAAAAAATTTATTTTTTTATTTAATTTTAATTTTTTAAAAATTAAAATATAAGATATTCTAATACATAATATATATATATATAAATTTAATATGATAAAAAAATATGCATCACATTATTTATACATAACAACTATTTAAGTTAACAAATGATAATTTAATAAATTGACATATTGTAAAATTTTTTTATCAATTTTAATATATATATATATATATATATATATATATAGAAAGTAGTGTCCTTTTGTGTTTTTGTTGTCACGCCCCAACTCGGGTGTGTAACCGACTCTAAGGCTGGCATTGCCAACCCTAGTAAACCTTCAATCATACCAACAGAAAAAATTTTATCAAAATGATCATCAATATATATATAAGTCAAAATGCTTCTTAGAGTTACATTGAGCCACAAAGTACAAGAGAAAATATACAGAATTTGTCCGTACATCAAAATCAACACAGCAGTGGACAAGATCACTCACTGAAGCTACCATTATGCTTTTGAACATAAATCTAGAAAAATAGGGGAAAAGGGTTAGTACAATACTCAGTGAATGATAGTACTGTTCTAGACATATAGGGACATGAATCGTAATTGTTCAAAGCATAGATGTCATCTCAAATTGTACATAATAGCGTAGTTTACAAAAAATCATATTTGTCTCAGGCAACACATATTTTATGCATGACAGTCATAATTAGAAAATTAAACACCTATCAGAGTATCAGAACGTATCACA